ACTTCCATCTCCGATCCCATAAACCTGACTTTAGTTTATATCACTTTTTCCCTTTTGAAACTAAGAATGATAACAATCCCCTATACCTTTATACCAGCGATTTTCAACCTTTTTCGTCTCATGGCACATATAAACTGATAACTGAAATCCTGTGGCACACCAAAAAAAATATTTTTTGCCAATCTGGCAAAAAAAAAAAAAAAAATAGGTATAATTTTGATTCATTCACACCAGACAGCTATTGTGTTGGCTGTTGTCATTTTTTCTGGTTTACGGGCCGACGCTCTAACCGCTGAGCGAAACCGGCCAGGGCTGTTGTCATTTTTTTATTTGACAGGCTAAGGGAAAAGAAGTCAGTGCCCCTGACTAAATAGTCAGGTCTGGCATGTTTTAAAAATTCTTGTGGCACACTGGTTGAAAATCACTGCCTTACATAATTGATTGTTAAGTAAAGAGTTATTCATTGAACAAATATTTATAGGCAGCCAGGGCAGTAGGATAGTACACTTCAGTGTAGTGAGGGAGAGAAATGGCAGGAAGATGGATGGCTAAAGGAATAATTACAGTACAGTACAGTAAATGAGCTATGTCAGAGCGTTCAGGCACAGAAGGAGTTAACTCTGGGGAAGTGAGGGAAGACCTCACAGAAGTAACACGGGGGCTGATTCTTAAAAGTACTGTAAACAAATATAGGTCTGCCATTCATCCTGTAGCAGCAAAAGTTGCACGACATGCACACGGTGAGCCTCTGTAGAGATAGATGTTAAATACAACAGGGAGATTCTCTATTTGTAAGAAATGGGGAACTTCTCTATTTGTAAATAATATGTGGAACTCTCTCCAAGAGATTATATTAGGTGAATAAAGCCAGAGTACAGAAATATGAACATAAAACGTCTTCCCCGTTTTCCTGGAATAGTTTTTATTGACTATCATTGAGGAATTTACTTGGCTGTAGATAACAGGACTCTAACAAAGAGTAGCTTAAAGGAATGCAGTGTATATTCAACTCAGATAACAAAATGTCTAGAGATGGGCACATCAGAGCTGACTGCAAGAAGTCATCAAGGGCCCAGGCTTCTTCTTTCCTCTTGCTCACCATTCTTTGATTGGAGCCCTCTTTAGGATCCTTAGGTCTCTACTATGCCTCCAGACAGTTGGGCCATATTCCTGAAAGGAAGAAGGGGTAAGCCCAAAAATCAGGAACTCAGTAGATTTCTCAGACACTTTACCTGGTGAACTGCTACCTACATTCATTGGCCAAACTGTGCTACATGATCACTCCTAGCCTCTGGGGAGCTTGGAGAGGCCAATGTTTTTAAATGAGTACACTGTCACTCCAAATATAATCAAAGGTGTGTTAGTAGTGAAGAAGGAAGAGCGAATGGGTAACTAGCAATGCCATCCTTATTTCTAAAGCTTAGAATGCTAAAAAAAATTGAGAAATGTTGGAAGAAAATGGATCAAAACAGATGAAGTTGTTTAACATACAATTGAAAGAACGTAATTTGGTAAAAATTCTTAAGAAAACATCGATTAATCCTCTGGGTTATGTCCAATATGGTAATTACTTCCTTACTCTGATTACTTAACATAAGTGGTATTCATTAGTGATACTTTTCCAATCAAGATTTAGTGTAGAAAAAATGCAAGAGTGCTAAAATATGTGCATGAAATGGCATGAAGACCTTTATTTAAGATAATTTTTTAAATCTAGTGCATTGAAAGTTTACTATGTTGCTTTGGGTTACTAAAATAGGAATAAGATAATGAGAAAAATATTCCCAGCTTTCATACTGCTTAACTGCTGTACACAAAATTAGGCTCTTGCACAATGTGATCTGGAGTTGTTTATCTGATGCTAAAATCTTGTAAGTTAAGAGCACAGTACTAGATAGTGGAATTACAGGACACATTTCAAGGTGACTAATCATTCTATTTCTATTTCCTATAGAAAAGTAGATACCAATAATAGCAATAATGTGGTCTTTTAATAAAACTATCAACTGCCAGTCCAGGTAATTTTTTTAAACCCTCAAATCTTAGAATTTTAGAACTAAATATTAAATTTTAGAACTGAAATCCCTGAATCTTAGAACTGGAAGGGACTGTTTCTCCAGTTCCTCTCCTTTCAGTGGTAAGAAGACCATGAGTCTTAGAGTTTAAGGGATTTGCCTGGTGTTATTGGCGAAAGTAGAACTGTTATCTGTGTTACTGATTGGGCTGAATCCCTTGATTTGGTTCTGACCAAATCAAGGAAACAACTTGATTACTTCTCCCAGTTACTATGAAAAAAAAGTCAAGTCTGCTCATAATATACTTTCTCCTAGCAAACTTCTCTTCTGTAGTGCTTAGAACTTAAGGATAAAAATTAGACATATTTGTGATGGGCATTGGTAACTTTGTCCCACCCCACCCCATTTACATTCATTAGGTAAATACACATTTTGAATTGTCATTGGTCACTAAAACATGGTGACTCTGAGTTCCAACCTTGTCCTTTATAAACAGAATGTTCTCAATCAGGTATTTCACCTCTCCAGACCTGCTATAATTACAATAACAAGTAGATAACATAAATGAAAGTTATTTGTAAATGGTGGGTACTGTACAAAATGATGGGTTTTCACTTTCATTATCACCGGTTTTTATTGTTTCTGACCATGTGGCATTTAAAGATTTTTATTTATTTAATGAATGCTGTTTTATGATTACAGATGTCTTTATTAAAAGCTCACAATAATTCATTTCATCCTTAGGGTAATTCAAAATAACTACCATCTTTTGCTTGCCTGATTTTACATTTACAAGCTGAGCTGCATGGAAGATTTATCCAGTGCTTAACCTTTCTTGAGTTTTATACTTACCCATAATCTCATTGTTCAATTTTTGTGAAATATAACAATATAGATTTTTATAGTGAATGGGTTTGCAAATTAGAAAACATTTGCAGAGTACTAATAAAATACATTTTTACTCCTTTATTTTAGTTGCCTTTTTAAAGGATAATTTTAAATGTTTGCTCCTTTTAAAAAAAATATTTTCTGTTAATTTCTCAGTCTTATAAGGCTTCTTCCTTGGTGATTTGAGGGGGCGGGGGCATGTGATGAGGTTTAAATCTGGCATGTGATGAGGTTTAAATCTAAACCATGAATTTATTCTTCTTTTGTATTTAGGATTAAATAAGATAATGTATAAAAGTGCTTAGCCTAATGTCTGGCACAAATTACATTCCCACTTACATTGGAGTTCTGTTTGATGCTGGTAAGGATTCTCAGAGATCCTAAAATTACAGACATGGGAAAGTTATACTGAGAACAGAGTAAACGGAACTGTGAAGAGTAGCCCTCTACTGGACAGCTTCTCTGGGAATCCTGTGACTCGTGGGAATGAAGAGTGGGGAATGTTGTAGAGAAGATAGTTGTCAAGATCGGCTTATACATGGATCCCAAAATACCCGGTGGAGAGGCCCCTATTAAAAACTTCATGAAAGCCTTTTAGCAAGGGTACTTGACTCAAAGTTGCACCAAACCAGTAGCTATAGTTGCCACAATTCTGTCTTGAGCTTTATGACATACCAAAAATGTACCAAGTCATCTCTGAGTTCAAAGCATTCAGTAGACAACAGCAAGGCACAGCCACCAGAAACTTATTCCTGATTCCCATGACATGTATGGTAATGCTGTATTTGCTAGTGGAGCCACTCTATGGACATATGCAGCAATACAAATTGGAATACAATGGAACCTGTCCCCTGTTGGCAGTTACCTCAAAGGAATGAAGAGATCAGTAATCATCCCAGCTTGTATAATAGTGAATTGTTTCAAAACCAACTCATGCCCAGCTGGCATGGCTCAGTGGTTGAGCATTGTCCCACAGACCAAGAGGTTACCGGTTTGATTCCTGGTCAGGGCACAAGCCCAGATTGCAGGCTCGATCCCCAGTAGGGGGCATGTAGGAGGCAGCCAATCCATGTTCCTCTATCATTGATGTTTCTCCCTTCCCCTCTCTCTCTAAAAATCAGTAAAAACGTATTTTAAAAAAACACCCATAATTGATGCCAAGTAAAAGCACTGTGGTCCTGGCCGGTTTGGCTCGGCTGTTAGAGTGTTGGCCAGTGGACCAAAGAGTCCCGGGTTTGATTCTGGTCAAGGGCGCATACCTCAGTTGTGATTTGATCCCTGGCCTGGTTGGGGTCGTGCTGGAGGCAACCAATTGATGTGTCTCTCTCATATCGCTGTTTCTTTCTCTCTCTCCCTCTCTCTCTCTCTCTCTCTCCCCCCCCTCCCTCCCACTCTATCTGAAAATCAATGAAAAAATATCCTCAGGTGAGGATTTTTTAAAAAGCACTGTGTACCCATTAAAATATGGCACGATTAAAGAAATAAAGTGCATTTGAAACCGTCAAAGAAAAGCAACAAACTCCAAAATGCTAAGTCATACAGAGAAAGACAAATACTATATGATCTCACTTATATGTAGAATCTAAGAACAAAACAAAACAACAAAAAACCTGAACTCCTAGATGCAGAGAATAGATTTGTAATTGTCAGAGGTAGGAGGTTGGAGGTAGGTGAAATGGGTGTAGGTGGTCAAAAGGTACAAATTCCTGGTTGTAAAATAAATAAGTCATGGGAATAGATAATGTACTATAGCATGTTGACTATCATTAATATTATTGCATTGTATATTTAAAATTTACTGAGAGTAGGTCTTAAAATTTATCATCACAAGAAACATGTAACTGTGGCCATGGATGTTAACTAGACTTACTGGGGTGATCATTTTACAATGTATATAAATGCTGAATCATTTATGCTGTACACCTAAAACTAATATAAATGTTATATGTCATTTATGTCTCAATTAAAAACTTCATTAAAAAGAAACAACCTAAAAAAGGCTAATCTATAACTATTTTATTGTTGAAAACTGAAGTCTGGCATTAGTGATAAGATAGTATTCTTGACACTCAGACAAGTCTTACCTTTATGTTTTAGTCAAAGAAGTTTGGCAGAGATCACAGAACTTATCCATACTGCTCTCCTTGTACATCGTGGAATAGTAAATTTAAATGAATTGCAATCTTCTGACGGGCCACTGAAAGACATGCATTTTGGAAATAAAATAGCTATCTTGAGTGGAGACTTTCTTCTAGCAAATGCCTGCAATGGACTAGCTGTGCTACAGAACACCAAGGTAAAACTGGACGGGGTTTGCTTGTGTCTCAATGGCCTCCAGGTGGCTTTTGGTTGACTGCAGAAGCCACAGAAGTCTGTGCACCCTGCTGCCCCAGCTCTGTCCCCATCAGTAGATGCTCAGTAAAGTTGTGATGATGGTGATGATGATGATGATGATGATGGCGGCAGTGTCAACACCAGATAAAACTGGTAAATTCTAAGAAATAATTTTGAAATTCTATTTCTGATTACAGGTGAAATTATTTGTTAATTATAATGTTAAATATTCATTATAAAGAAGATATAAATTAATATTACCTATAAATATCACTATCCAGAGATAATCATTGTTAGTTAATATTTTGGTGTATTTTCTCTCTGTCATTTTTGTTTATTTATTTTTACTTTTATATATATGGACTTTTTTAGTAACATAGGTGAAAACTTGCATGTATAAGGTTTTTTCTTTAATCCTGACTATTTTTCCCACTTCATATTATGATGTGGCCATTTTCACATTATTAACTTTTTCATAAACTTTTTAATGGCTGCACAATAATTATTTAGATGTAATATCATTTATTTAATTCCTCATTTTTGGACATGTAGGTTGCTTCTGATTTTTTTGCTGTCATAAATAGATCTTCAGTAAACATCTTTACACATCAGTTTTTCTCATTCCGGATTATTTCTTTAAGATAAATACCTAGAACTTGTTCAAAGGGTTTAAACATTTTTAAGTATTCTTGATACACAATACCAAGCTGCTTTCTAGAAAAATGTAGAGGTATTTCTTATATATCAGTTAGGATTAGGTGTGACTATAAAATAACAGTGGCTAAAACAAGATAGGAGATTATTTGTTCTCAGGTAAAAGCATCCAGGAGTAGGTAGTCTAACGTGGCATGATGATTCTACGAAGTCAAGAACTGAGGCTGCTTCTGACTGCTCTGCCATCCTGATCTTACTGCTCTGTGTCCCAAGATAATTACCATTGCATTCTCACTCTAGTTAATAGGAAGGAGGAGAAGGAAGGGCAGAGAAGGGCAGATCTCCTTCCCTTGAAGGTCAAGTGAGTTGTACATCCTGGTTTGCTAAGGTCAGTCTCAGTGTAAGTCTGCCGTCCCAGAATCCCATCTGACTTAGCATTTGTCCTGGATTTTTATTTTTTAACAGAGAGTAATCGCTAATTATATTAGAATAAGCCAGCATGGGTTTTATTGGTCTCCACTTCACTTTCAGCCTCTGCCTTAGTTTTTGTCTAGTGTAGGCTAATAGTATGTGAAACCAGTGCACAGGATAGTTATGTTAAGGTGTAATATTACATCTAAAAGGTAACCAGCAATAATTTCCCTCTTTTCCCAAACCTTTTGGACACCTCCAATCAAGGACAGAATGCAGGGCAATTACTAATAAAGAGTTTAGGGACAGTGAGCTCCTTTGCCTCAGGAGGAAGAAGTACTGGATGCTGCTGCTGCACGGGCCACTTAGTGTACAACCCAGTGTACTGTGGCCCATGCGTGGCCTTCGAGGCCACAAAGCCATCAGGTACCAGTCCAAAAACTCAGTGAGAAACAAAATAGGGTAGAGGTTCGCTAGCTATGGAATATGTATGTGAAATCAAGTCTGTAGAGAGTGAGTAGAGAGTACACTGAGCTTGCTTGCTTGTATAATGTAGAGCTATGACTATTTTATTATTTGGCAACACTTTTTTTTTGCAATAAAAGTCTATATGTCATTTTTTTAAGTACTGGATTTTTGTTTCTCAAGAAAGTTGATAAGGAATGTGTAACTTGCACCAAATGTTTGTTGAAATTTACTGTCCAGTGGGGTGGCCATAGTGGTATCACTGAACACATGAAAACAAGAGTCAGATTTTCTGAAAAGTGTCAGGATCTACTTCCAATGTGAGTGGTTAATTGAAGGGAATTCTGAAAAGGCTCCCCAACACATAGCTGCAGAAGGTACATGTGCATACCACTCTGTGAAGCCTAACTTTTACTTAGATAACTGACTGTTCTTCTAAATTAATTTCACTCACTTTCTACAAGCTTTTTTATGCACATAGGGAAAGGGAAGCAATAGCTTTATGTTTTCTTTAGCTTCGTTTTCTTTATTAAACTTCAAATAGTTAAATAATTCTAGTTTTAATTGAATGGCATCAGATACTTCAAATAATTAAATTTTTTTAGTTAATTCTCCAAATATTTGTTTTTTTCCGTCCACTCGTGAAATCAAGGTAAAGCTTTTGGAAGTATATTCTATTAGAGGTAAAGCCATGATGAGTAAAATTGAAAAATCAGTTTAAAACTTCACCATGGAAGATAAAATTATTAGTTTATAATAATAAAAGTACAAATTTTATTGAAGCACACACAGTATTGTGGTAAAAACAATGTTCTTACTACACTGAGAAACCTGTGGAGTAGTTGAACTTGTTTGTGGCATACTCATAATTCATAATGGCATCCAAACAAGTGTCAGCATTCTACAAATTGAAATAGAAGCTATTGATATAAAATGTACAAGTATCTTCACAGTCAGAGTCTCTGGACTACAGGATTTGGGGATGTAGCATGGCAGCATGCGCTTTCTCTCTCTGTTGGCCATCAGCAATCAGATTTTAGAAACCTTCATATCCAACAATGGTATTGAATTTTGTTATATTAAATGAGTTGTTAAAATTTTGGTGACATTTTATTCAAAATCAGTTGGAAATCTTATATCGAGTTCAGGAAATGTGACACCAAGCTAGAGAATTACAATTAAAGAAAAAGCTTACATTAGGATTTTTTTCCTACAAAAGCAAGGAAGAAACAGAACAAAATAAATAGCAAGAACTCCAGTGCTACACCAGATTAAAATTTGCAATTTTATTATTGTGATTTGGAGTACCTTGTCTTGCAGGAAGAATTTTTGGTGGTGCTTTTATTTTGAATAAATTATACATTACACAGGAATGAAACTAATTGAGACAGCCCAGATTTTGCAAAACATTTAAAAGAATCATAAGGAGACTATTTATTTGACAAATTTTGTCTTATAAACATATTTGTCAACGAAAGGTACTGTTAAGGAAGCAAAAAGATAGTAACTTGAAAATATATGAGCTGGAATAGTTACACTTTTCAATATGAAAAAATTAGAATTGAGTATCTCCTCTATTTACAATTGGTCTGAGCTTGCCAGGGAACCCAGAAACTGTGGAAGAGCATTTTCTCAATTAAAAACATTATGGTCGCCCTGGCCGGTTTGGCTCAGCAGTTAGAGCGTCGGCCTGCGGTCCGGAGAGACCCGGGTTCGGTTCCCGCTAAGGGCACGTACTTCGGTTGCAGTTTGTCCCCGGCCCTGGTTGGTCATGCGGGTGGCAGCCACTCGATGTGTCCCTTCACGTCGATGTTTCTCACTCTCTCTCCCTTCCTCTCTCTCCCTCCCACTCTATCTGTACAAAAAATGGAAAAATATCCTTGGGTGAGGATAAAAAAAAAAAAAAAAAACATTATGGTCTATCTCTCAGAGTCAATTGAAGGTATCAGTAATTTCAAATTAATTAATCATAAAATGCAACTATGAAGAATATTGCTGAAAGTTTCTTTTTAACTACCATATTTTTAAAAATACATTTTTCAGAAAAATGCCAGTGACATATTAGAGAAAGGTATGACTAAGAAACGAATTAAAGTATGTGAATGTGTACCAAAAATTTTGACTATTTTTTTATTCAGATAATCAGTATGAAGTTTTAAGTTTTTTCTTTTGTTTTAATATATGAATATATGTTATTTTTCTTTCTTTTGCAATTTTATTTTTGCAAATAGTTTTTAACAGAACTAGTTAACAAGTCCACCAATATAATAAAATCAATTATTAGTTAATAAATATACATTTCAAAAGTATAAAATTTTAATTATTTTACCACACTCTTTTACTCCCAAATATCCCAGATTGGCTGCTAAATTATATAATGTCACCACTTTAAAGACATTTTTAAGAAGGCATTTGAGATCCTTCTGCTTACATCTTATTGGCCAGAATTTAATGGTGTAGGAGGCTAGGAAATGTAAACTTTATTGTGAGTAGCCATGTGTCCAGCCACAAATCTGGGAGATACAGAGAGAATATATCATGGGAGACGAGTAGCTTTCTGTCCTACATCTCCATCACCCTTTTGGCTGGCACATGTCCATGGGACAGACCTGCTGGATTTCAGGGACAAAATAGAATAGCACCTTTATGTACTACATAGTTTATATTTATATGAAAAGAAAGTTAAAGTAAGAAATGAATCACCATATAAATGGAATAATAAATCATCTCAAATCTTCCTCCAGAGATTTATTACCATTGGCATTCCTTTTCTTTTTATTCACCCTCAAATTGCTCTATTTTCTATGTGTATAGTCTGCTTTGACGGGTCTTACTAAATTCTCTCCTTCACTGGAATCCACGTTAGCGGAAGGTTGAGTGAGCCATTGTCCCTGGAAGCCACTCTGGCTCAGCGTCCATCTTCCCTCTTTACCACACCTGCTGTGGCCTGTGATGAACTTTGAGTCTTGGAGAAGGTGGAGGTCTCAGAAAGTGTAGGTCTGGTGTAGTTTCTGGGTGCCTTGAATAGCACTTGACTAGCCCTAGCCGCAAACACTGCCACTCATGGACTAGACCCACATGCCGGAGAGGAAGAGATGTTCTGGACAGCGTCACTAGATGAACGTTTTAGTAATTAGCCCTCAACCTGGCCCCTGCCTTAAAGAAACCAAGGCTGACTTTAAGCTATTCTGAAAATATTATATAAAGTATAAATATAATCATGCTTTAATGACACAAAAAAAGTAGTCACTTGTTTCAACTACTTCACTTCATGGGAATAATAGTTAATGTGTTCTTTTTTCTTAGCTAGCTTGTGTCATTCACACATTCTTTCTTTCAGCATGGTTCAAGTTCAGAGAAAATGGAGACTTTACTCCCATCAAAATCAAATCAGATTCACAGATTGTGAAATCCACTCTTGGTGTTTTGCAT